GAATCGAATATCAATAAAGTTAACGTATAACAATAAATTTACATATTCCTAGATTATAATTGAATGTGTTTACGAAGGAACACCACAACCTCAAAATTCAACATTACAGTATATTTACTCAAGATTTATTGTTTTCATATAGCACAGTTGACGTTGCCAACTAGCGTGGGAGCGGAAGTCCTGATAAAGGCTGGTTCTCGGAAAAGTAATAAAATTGTAGTTTGAATGAAACATTTTTTTATTTTGTACAGGATTCTTGGGATCCTCAGCATCAAGTACAAACAAACTGCAAAATGTGTGTCGAAGGTCTGATTAGACCTTCCGAGATTTAGACCTTCAGCAACTGATCCGTTTTTTACCTTCCTTTAATTTATTCTTTTTCATGTTGTGCTTCATGTAACATACATAGACTAGAGGGCCGCTCATGCCCTTGACAAATAAATTAACATTTTCGCACTAATACAAATCAATATCGTCATTAGACAAGAATTAAAACATAAAATTTATAAACAAAACCTACCACGGCATATTCTTGAACAAGTATGCCTACAAACCTACGATAAGCATGTCTGTTATTATTATACTTAACCTACAAATGCTATGACTTAAAACATACCTGTTTTCCTACATAAAACATGCGAACTAATTGCGAGTGCGACGTGAACTTAGAAAAAGACTAGTAAGAATTTATAACTGTGAATTTCTCAGAATTGATTGACAGTTCAGATGAACCTATGGCCACAGACTACGGAAACCTACAGTATTATTGTATTAGTATACTGTATTTGTATTATTGTGTTACTAGCAGAGTACCCGTCCTTCGTACGGGGTTGACATATAAGTATAAATGCTTATTGCGGTTATGGAAGAGGACACGATCTAAAAAAAAAACTGGTCTCTTAATTTATACGGTATCCTATTGTGTAGCACACATCTACCATAGTCCTGATGTTCTTGCACCTAGACCATGGAAAAAGTAAAGTTCTCATTGTGTACCACAACTTTTTTTTGCTAGTTGGTTCAAATTAGCTGTGGTCATTAATGCAAACAAACAACATAATAGTGCTGCACCCTGTTTGGCAAGCCAACTTTTTAATGCTGTTTAATATCATAGAACCAACTTGTACAGTTGAAACGGCTGACAAAATTCTTTAATTTTTTTAAATATGAATACTCATAAGGTTAACTAGAGAAAGTCCAGAGCCAGAGCCACCGGGGCAGAGACTGAAAGAATTTTTGAGGTAAGAATATGTTAATTGGGGATGTCATCTATCATCATACCAAATTTCAACCTTGTCGGTTTAGTATTTTTCGCGTTTGCTTGTCTCAAACATCCATCCATCCATACATCCATGGTTTGCACTGTAAACAAAAAGCTATCACAATAGTTCCATACCGACAAATATGAAAAATGGGAAAATTTAAATAAATATGGAAAAAGGGTAATTTTCTAACATATTTTAGTGAAATTATATAATCAGGCAAATGGAAATTCAGTCTACAGATTTGCTGTGGCCGGGGGATTATATTACGGTTTACACAAAAATAAATCAAAACATAAACCTCATAACACTCAGGGAAAGGGCCTAGGTTGATAGGGCAATGATTATAGAATCTTAATTATTTTCTATATCCATGATGAATGATTTCTTTTAAAACGAATTATTCCCACTGTTTTACAGGAAACATTTTTAACCATTGTAATAACATCATTATAGCTTAAAAAGTTGATAGTTTACATAATATTTAGCACATTTGACGGATAAAACTTTTTTGAATTCGTCATATTATAAGTGTATAAAAATTCATATATCTGTGTATCAATATCTACTTATCTCATTTCTGTTCAATGGAAGTTATACAATTTCAATGATACCGGTACTTAAATGGGAAGTCTTACAGCTGTTATAAAACTGTGCATACATTTTATCTTACGAGTAAATTTGCTACCAATTGATATAGTATGACAATTCTATTCTACTGTAGTACTTAGAATTCTACCACTACTCACATTAAACCAACCATATTTACTTTTGGGCTAGTGATTAATTTATTGTATTAATCATACAATATAGTGAATAGTGTAGGTAGTCATTTATTTATTTCGTTTCTATGACATAGCTCTATTTTGTAGAAATCAATTATGCAATCATAACAACAGAAATACTGCATAATTACATTTTACGGTGACATAGTATTTATTTTACATATAAAAATTTTAAGCTAATGCAATAATTAGTTCAATTAGAACCATTGAATATTGAATAATTTAAACATTAATCAAAGACGAAGCGGTTGACAACTTTCAAACAGTTGACTAGGCCTAGTTGCCTTCAATAATTGCAATGCGAACTGTATGCACTGAGGTCGGCAAACAGTGTTCACAGTGTGCAGGCACTTTGGACGTCGTGCCACTTGGACGTCGTGCAACAGTCAAATATTGATTGGACGTCGTGGCACTTGGACGTCGTGCAACTGGCAGAGGCTTTGGACGTGGTGCAAATGATACGTCTTTACAATTATATAGTGCGCTGTTTCACGACGTCCAAGTGCCACGACGTCCAAAGCTTGTAGAAAGACTATATTTTTGGCAGTTACTGTACTTTTGGACGTCGTGGCACTTGGACGTCGTGCAACAACTCAAAAATTATGTTTTGGACGTCGTGGCACTGGAAAAATATGATTGGACGTCGTGGCACTTGGACGTCGTGCAACACTCCCTATCTAAGTTGTCACGAGTTTGCTTTTTATTGCGAAAACTAAAAAACTGTGTATCAAATCACACACTTCTTTCTGTTTACCATAGTCTATTTCATACGCACTTATTATATGGAAATATTCTCTGGGGAAATAGCTGTGGGGCCAGCAGGGTGTTTACTTGGCAAAGAAAAGCCCTGAGGATCATGTTTGATATACCAAATAAAGTCAACTGCAAACCTTTCTTTATAAATAACTAGCAGAGTACCCGTCCTTGTACGGGGTTGGCATGTAAGTATAAAGTGACATTAGCGTATGGTTTGACAGCTCCATTTAAGTAATGTTAAATAATGTTTACATTCAGGATAGTGACATCATTATTTTAAATATGATCCTTACGCTCTCTGTTCTAATATTCATGCAGTATTTAAATGAATGTTTGAACCAGCTGTATGGAATTGTGAAATCAAAATTAATTTGACAGTTAGTACTGCTTGTTTACATTTTTAAACTTTGTAGGTTTGTTCTTTGTTGTCATGGATACCATCAATCAAAATTTACTTTGAAATCTCTCACCTCCGATTTTTGAAAGCCCACGGGGCAGAGCCCTAGGACAATATTGAAGCGGGAATAGTTCTATATGTATCCTCGGAACTGTAGCTTCATGTGTGTGCAATTTGAGCCCAATAGGTTCAGTAGTTTTTGAGATTAGCTCATACAAACACACACACAGACACCACCTCTTCTTTATAATAGTATAGATAATATAATGACACTTTCAAGTATTTATATTTTTAATAATTTAGTCTTTGTTAAACAAAACATTACAAATTTTACTAAATGCCACTCAATACATAACCACTCAACTAGACAATCAAACAACCTGTACATCCCACCAGTTAGACTTTCAAAATTCACAAAAAGCCATAAATATTTACAATTACAACTTTTTAATAAACTTCCCATTCCATTTAGAGAAATTGATAACATAAACCTTTTCAAATCAACATTATCAAGATGGCTAATTAGCAAAGCCTTTTTTTCTATAGACAATTTTTTAAACACAAATAATTACTCTGAACTCTTAACACTATTGGCCACTAGGAGGCAGCCTGCATGACCAAAAATCTTTTTATAAATTTCCTGAATATTTACAAATTGTTTAGTTTTGAAGCATTATTTACTTAAGTTTTGTATAAATTTGTGTAAAGCATTCAATCTTAGAATTTTAAATTTAAATATTTAGGCCTGTATGTACAGTTTATGCAACAAAATGTTCAATGTTTCATAGGATGATGTATAGATTTAAGCATGATGTCACATTTGTGTCCTGACTTCTGACGTTGTCTATTGTAATTTTATGTTGCTGAATGACAATAAAGATTATTATTATTATTATTATTATTATTATTATTATTATTATAAATAAACAACACGATACGATATTTTATCCGATACAGATAAAAATCGATACATGAGGATACGATACGATACACGTATCGATACACCACGTTCCGATACATTGACCTGTATCGCCCATCACTAGTTTACACTGTGGGTTTTGTGCATTTTTGTAATTGTTAGAGAACCGAGTTAAATGTTACTTGGGTGTGAGTGGTGGGTGGCGTGTAAAGCACAGATATATTGGGAACAACAAACGACAAGAAAGTTTTTGCCAACCATAATGAATAACTTAAATTACCCTTGAAAACCGAAAAATAACCTGAGGACCGATTGAATCACCACTACTTTTTTCTTGAAATGTTCAGTGCCGACCCGATTGGTCCAAATTGAGTTTGTATATGGATTCTATAATGTTGTGAGCAAAATAGACAAGTTGGACATTGCTGCAGACACCTTCTTGAGAGGAGACTTCATTGCATTTTTCTCTCTAGATGCTATCTTAGTATTTTAGTAAAAATTGTGTTTTGTGTTCTTGCTGGTCTGCAGTTGCAAAGGTCATTCTGCATCCATTTTGGATTATACCCCACACGTGTCCTTGTAGGAACTAAGTTATTCCTATACCTGATTCCACTCTACAAAATCTTACCCCACAATCCTGTATATTCAGTCAAAATATACATTGTTACACTAAAATAAATATTTTAATTTTTTACATTATATCAATAATTAGCATCATAGCCCTAACTATACTCCCTTGATTCTGTTATTGAAGTTAACAACAATTTATGGTCAGCTATTTTTGATGGTACTTTGTTCGTACTATTTACCGCAGGTCACTTTTATACTTAACTTTTTTCTTAAAATCCAGACTTTTTTAATTAACTTCTTTTCTTGTCCAGAGGGGAAGAAAGTGTCCGCATCGTCCAAGGCAGGTATCACCTTTCCGGTCTCCAGAGTACTTCGGTTCCTCCGGAAAGGTCAATACGCCAACAGAATCGGAACAGGGTCTGGAGTGTATCTCGCAGCTGTGTTAGAATATTTGACTGCTGAAATCTTGGAACTTGCTGGGAATGCTAGCAAAGATAATAAAAAAGTCAGGTAAGTTAATACGGATTCTTGAATTTGATAACTATTTTTCCTTTCTTTAGTATTCCAATCATTGTGTTTTCAGATGGTCAATGATCTTAATTGTTAGCTTTAAATAGTTTAAATTATTGTAATTAATATTTTTCTTTATCAAAATTAGTGATGGTCAAAACCAGAAATTTCAAATCTCAAAACCGAAACCGAAACTTAAAAAAAATCAAATCCCGAATCTCGAATCTCAAAACCTAAACGCGAAACTTTTTTACTTAGCTGGCTACAAAGGTCAAGGTTACAAAAAAATATACATAATCATAAAATGTTAAGTATGCAATCAAAACTGAAAGAGATCGACTCCTGACCGTGACATAACATAAAAATGTGAATGTGACTGATAATCTTAAAATCCAATACAACATAATTTTTCATACACAAAAACAACCAACAAAAAAAATATTAAACTTCTAACACTAACATAAACATGAATAGGTATTAGATTAATTAGAACATTTAGTGGTCAATATATCTTTGTAAATATTGGATGTGAAACTGAATTGTACCAGTTATAGTATTTAAGATACCTTTTGAAGTTCAGAATAAACTTTACTTGTTTCATTACTGTTAATGGTGATATTTGCTCTGTTTCTACCAGCTTGTTTGGAAACAGCATTGAAAACAATAACAATGGCACAAAAAAAATGTCAGCAGTTTAAACAATAAAACTGCCAAAATCTTCAATTTTGAAACTTTTGAATCTCGAAACTTGGTGATCGAATCTCAAAACCGAAACATTTCCTAAGTTTTGATGGTTTTGAGATTTGAGATTCGGTTTTGACACATCACTAATCAAAATTACATGTTATTAATCTTGAGGCATTTCTTCTGTGTAAATAAATACTGGATTATGGCGGTATTGCCACCGGCACACCACTGTTTTACCTGGAAAATGTAGACATGCTATTAAATTTTGTCAGTAAAAGGTAAAATTATTTGGTTTTATTGGTAAATTGGTCGCTCTTGACTCAGTAACAGGATGATAGACTATGCATTATTAGTATAGTACTTACGATGAGGTTACTACTGTTTTTGAAAGGTGATTGGTTAATAATAGATTTACTACCAAAATATGATAGATCCATAGTACCATACTATTAATTGGCAACTACCAAATATGAGAATATGTGTGGGTTTTGAATATTTTGTGTGCTGTTAACTGCCTTGGAACCCTTATCGTGGCTTAATACTCCTAATACACTTGATTTTTGCCCCAAAAACTATCAGTGCAAGTATACATTCTTACCCAAGGGCCCTGGAGTTTTTTTGTTAGTTATTTAACTAATACAGTAGAACCCCTCATATCCGGCCACCACGGGACCAAGCCCCTGGCCGGATAGCGATTTGGCCGGATAAACCAACCTACTACAAAAATGAAAATGATTCATACCTATAATAATATTTAATCAAAACATGCTGTCAAAAGTATCATTTAAGTCTATTCTAGGATTATTTTTTGAAGAATTAACATGTTTGTACAAATAAAAAAAATTATTTGTAGGCTAAAGTTGTAAAAAAAACCTGAAATTAAGATTTCAGGTAACAAAAACTATTAAACGATGGAGGTAAAAGTTACATTAAATCAGCCTTGAAGATTTTTAGGACCTTAATAGTAAATACAATTCTACTCAACTTTCTTATCCTTTTTGTGAAATAAATACAAAGATTAATTTCCCAACCCCCAACTTTTTAGAGGTTAGGCCTAGTTCAACTGAGTTTAGTGACACAGTAAAATGTGTTTGAAACAAACAGATAAATAGTTCAGATAAATAGTTTAGCTCAAACAAGTCGCAAAGACTAGTGCTTGCATCTAAACGTCTGTAAGCTTTGAGAAAAACATTTTGATACTGTATTGGCTTCCTGGAAGTGGCCGGATAAACAGAGGACCGGAAAAACCAAGGCCGGATATCAGGGGTTCTACTGTAGTGTAACCTACTTCCACAAAGTATTACTTGCACAACTGTAATAAGCCAACCATGATAGTTGTCCATGACCAGGGAATTTAATACCAGAATTTAGTGATTATAAAAACAAACCTCAAAATTATTGAGTCCTTACTGTTCACTTTACATCCTGTAATTTGTTCCTAGGATTCTACCACGACACATTCAGCTTGCCATAAGAAATGATGAAGAACTCAGCAAACTTCTGAGTCATGTAGTTCTACCCGATGGAGGGGTTCTGCCCCACATACAGCAGTCGCTGTTGCCCAAGAAAACTGCGGGCAAATTGCCTGCGGAGAAGGGCAAGATGGGCAACGCACTGTCTCAGGAGTACTGATGTGCCTTGCGTTTTGCAACAATGTGAAAGACTTGCTCCTCTACTTGTTATTGTTTAAGAGGTGATTTTAAATAGCCAAAACTTTGTATTTATAAGAGTTTCTTGTTTGTTAGACATAATTGTTGCGAGTTTTACTTTTCTGTAATCTGGAATACAGTGATGCCATTATCAACTTTTGACCTGTGTTATATAATTTGTAGGGACAAAGAGTATTTTTAAAATTCATTGTTTAAAAGTAATAGACGGTATAAAAAGATAAGTCTTGTTTTATGATTGATTGTTTTTAATCTTAGTATTCAGTAGCTACGTTTAAAAAAAATGTTCATATTTAGCTGTAGAAAAAAATGTCTGTTTCATCATTAATTACCACCCCAGTCTATTAGACGTAATTGCTGCTATTTATGATTTGTAGATATATACAATGTTTTTGAATGTGTATTATTTAGGCATTAACCATAACAGAAAGGTTTTGTAATAACAGTATTTAGTAGCACGGTTTTTTTTTAATATTTATCATTAGCCATTGTAAAAATTATCCATTTTGTCCTTAAGTTCCTATCTGTTTGCTAAAGGTAATGGTTGCAAGTTGTAGTTCTGTAAATTTAAACCAGGTGATGTCATTGTTTGTTCATTTTTGAGCAGAGTTATGTAATTTGTAGGACTTTGTTTATATGCATTTCTCAAGCCACACCCTGTAAAAAGAGATAGTTTTAATAACAATATTTAGTGCAGTAGCACAGTTTAAAAAAAATGTTCATCTTTATCTGCAGTAAAAAAGTTCTCTTAATATTTTTGTGTTTGATTCATTGATTTGTATTCCTTGATTTAAATTTCTGGTGGTTTTGTTGGTTCCTACTGTTAATTGTTACTGTCCAAATCCCTTGAAAGATCCTGAGCTTTAAGTACAAAGATGGTACAGGTGATTTTTCATTTGATAAATCAAAGTTAAAATATATTACTAGATACCGATAACCAAGCTTTTGAACTGATTGAAAACAAAGTATACACTTAAAAAGTGTCACAATCCACTAACCCAGACAATTTTATTTTTATATGAAGATCTATTTTGCCTGATAATTTTAGTCGCAAACATCTAAATGTAGCTAGAAGATAGCGTTCGGAGCGAAGTTGTTGGCTTTCAGTTTCTTTTTAGCAATGCTTGGCTACGGAGTTAGATCACATTCTTGCACATCCTGAAAATACTCAGCCCTTGTGATTTGTACTTTAGGCCCTCAAAGGCTTTCTTGTTACCTATTTGACAAGCCAGCTGTCCTTGTCGAGTTAAAAATCACTCACAGCATTTTTAGAAGAAAATTGCTATTCATTTTAACAAATGGAAATTGTCAGTAGTTATTTGATAAAAACTAAATGTTAATAGTGTGGTGCTTAACAAAAAAGTTACAATTTTGAAGCTCAAGGCAAAGAACGACTCTTTTAGAAACAGATGTTTCCCCAAAGATATGGATGAAAGTATTTTTGCAAGCTAAAGTTACGAGTGTGGTTCAATAAGCCCTTGGAAAAAGATATGTTATAAACACCGCTCTTAGTGTTGCAAATGGTTTGTTTACAATTTCACTATTTAATCTAAGCATTTATATTAAAAAAAAAACAAAGAAATTATATATGTATAAAACATTAATTTTTAGAAAATATTTGGCTAACTGAATAAAATTAACACCAACTTCCTTAAACTTTAGCTTTTATTTTCTAAAGAACACACATTTATTTGTCACATAGAGAGGTATAAATAATTATCTAAATACTAATAAGTCCTGGCTGACATCAATAGATGCCGATGGTCTGCGCCAGCCCAGCGTAGATCTGCAATGTTGTGGCTCCCAGGCAGAGAGTGAACACGGACCTCAGCAGCAACGACACCCACGGTCCTGTTGCCGTCGTCTGCACATACAAATATCTATATACTAATTTGAAACTGTTTTTCTTTGTCACAGCTAATTTGAGAGCAGGGCTGGGCGTAGAAACTCGGTAGAGGTGTCTAAAGAAAGGTCTTGGTCTGTAGATGAGCCATCAAAAGAGAAACAGGGTGAATTACCTTGGGGCTCTGCCCCAGCGGCCTTTAAATTCCCATCCCATGTTATTCTTATGGAGGAAAACGGGGGTTTTGTCATAGCTAATTTGAGAGAACGGCTGGGCGTAGAAACTTGGTAGGGGTCTCTAAAGAAAGGTCTTGGTCTGTAGATGAGCCTAGCCATCAAAAGAGGAAAGAGGTAAATTCCCTTGCGGCTCCGCCCCAGAAGCCTTTAAAGTTGCCTCTTCAGATTTTTTTACATTGTGACCATATGCATAATTCTACACTACTTTTTAATGCAACAGCTGTTAATATTTAAATTGTGATTTATTGAATTTGTCAAAATGAAGTACAGTATTTGCAATGGATTTTTCTGATTTTAAAGTTGATTTTCTTCTGCATCGTGTCATGTTTTGAAATATAATGTTCTATTACCAAATCAGTGGAAAATCCTTAATATCACAGTAACTTTTAAAATTATTTCTTATGGAGTTAACTTATATGTTGTATGGGTTGGATTCAGCCTTTTTTACCACTTCTTGTAGATTTTACGAAGGTGATTTTCTTTGGCATATTGTATCTGTAGACGAAACTTGGGTTGGTGGAATTATTACAATGGAAAAGAGCGAGAAATCCTGGACAATTTGATATAGTCTAAAAATAAAACTGAATTAACACTGTGCTACATTTCTTGAGCAATCATTGAAATAACCGATTTGCAAACAATGGAAACAGAAAAAGTCATAGAACACAACCAAGTAGAAGGAATAGAAATAATGTTTTTTACACTAAAAAAAACAAGATCAGCTTTTTGAAAAAAAGATAAGATACAGTATTTACAAAAGATTTTGATTATATCTAACTGTTGTGTAGATCGTGAGTATTTCCAAAATCTTGAAGTCGCCTGTAATGCTTCGCAATTGCTCGAATTCGAGCAACAGGTACACTAGTATTAGGTTTAATCTTGTATTGCTCTTAGCAATAGTCTGTACAGTAGTCTTGATTATCCGACTTACAGCCACAACGTGGTCGGATAACACAGATAAAGCAACAGAAAAAGTATTGTCAGGAGAAACACCTTATCAGTTTTTTCCAACACGTTATGCAATGCTGTGGCTATTGCCACGGACCGAGATATACATTTTAATATTTTCCTGGATAGTGTTTCATCATTTTTGACACGGTTGTCGCCAGAAGACCACGATTCTACATTTTAATATTACACAACTAGACCGTTCCCTACTACGAACGCAAACCAAGGGCCAGTTGAAATCGTCAATATACATGATTCATTTAATTTGATATCATGGACGATTACTTAAGATTAGACTTCAAAACGACAAATTAAATGTTAACAAAAACCATCTTCTTTATTTCTTTCATCAAACAACAACACACTGAACTATTATTTTTTTTTTTTTTTTAACTTAACAATTGAAACATAATATGACTGTTTATTTATTTTAATCATTAAACAGTCTTTTGACAAACTTAAAATAGTGAAATATCTATTGAGGTTCCTTATAAATGATTAATCATAGTGATGCAGCAACGTAAAAAACTGTTTTGCCAACTATAATATGACGTCACTATTCATCATATTCCAAGTGACGCACATATGCAACAGACATCTCTGTAGACCCTTGCAGATATTCAGGGCCTTCAAATAGACCTTTAGGAAGATATAAGCTTTTTAACAACATTGGGAAACCGATGCAAATATGCGACATCAGTCTATTTCAATTTGATCAGTTCATGGGCAGCAACCAGCTGTGACATATGTGGGTCGCTGAATGTCGTTTGAATGAAAAATTAAAATTTAGTACTATTGCGGTAGCGAGCATATTAATCTTTCTAATTTGAGATAGGGACACCATCTATGAGTGTAAAAACCCAAATATGAGTGTAGAATGGAGTATGATGCCTTTTGTAGATTTGTTACAAACTGAGACCAACTGCTTCATTATTCAGGGACATTTACACCATCTACGAGCGTAAAAACCCAAATATAAGTCAAGGACGAGTTTATTTGTCAATTTGCATTTGACAAGAGCTCTATATGGATATTCCGATAGGCACGGTAGCGAACATGTTAATGAAAAAGGGGCTTCTACAGGCCCTAACAAACTGAGTTGATTTACTGATGAGCCTTGATTGGGTGACCTTCACACACTCACTTTATAACTTACCCCTACACATAAACCGACCTACCTGTGGTCGTTGCTCACCTACTACCACATAAAAACAATATATTAATTTAGATTAAATTCAATGTTTAGTTTTTTTACCTACGACCTTTTTTAAAGTAGCCATTTTCAGTATAGTTATAAGAATTGAAAAGTTTCTCAAAACAACATTGTTTACTTTCATAACAGCATAGTTTTACTCATAACAGCACAGTTAACGGACCAATGAGGTTCAAGGATTGAAAGAGAAGAAGTAAAATCGTAATGATTCGAACTTGAACTAATCAGCTGTTCATGCCAATTTAATTGTTGAGTGGTGCAGTTAGTGTTTGGTACAATATTTCATTGCATTGCTGTCAGTGGCAATGAGAGGTTATAAACGAAAACATTACCTCTCTTAGAAGTTATGAGAAGTGTTTTTTAGTAATAAAACCACTGTCTTAGGTAAAGTAGTGTACGCAACTCGCATACTCGTAAACGACACTCGTTTATAAGGCATTTGCCAAGGCTCGTACCTTAAATTTTCTACTTGTGTCGTTAACACTATCTTTACTCAATTGTTGCTTGAACTACCTACTATTACGATTTGAAAACTAAATAAGCTATATTAGCGACAGATAGTCAAAACACATTTTACGAGATACCTGTTTCATAGCCCATTTAAACACATTACCTGAACTAGGACATCCATCAGAAGTGGTTTGTAGGAGCAGACCAGCAGCAGTATGGTGACCAGTGGCTTGAGGTAGTCAGTCAGATCATGTCTGGACCACAACCATACGAGAGTCACTGTAGTGATGTGTTGCACCTGGACATACAAGTATGAACACCAGTTTGTAGTAGGACTCTAGGGTTAGGCTGAGTCAATGCTTGGCTCAAGATATCAGTTTGGGCTGGAAATAATTTTCATGAGTATGTAGAGGTGTGCGAGTGGTACAACTTTTGAGTCAAAAGGCGATCCGAACTTTAATTTTTGTCATCACAAAAGCGTCTGTGAAGACGTAGTCAGAAATTACAATATTTCCTTAGAGGGGGGGGGGGGATGATAATGATCACTCCATGAACAAGGAAGATGTTTATGAGTTTGACTTGATCGCAGGAGATGTTCACAACTGCAGGGATGTTGATAATTTGGATATGACCGTAAAGATTTTCACTATTACACCATAACTAAAGACATTCACTATTTTGCCGTGACTGCAGGAGACGTTTTGATTACATTATGATCATGGGAGATAGGCTAAAGTGTGCCTATTGGTGTGTGTGGCAACGTCGCGATGGCATGCCTATTGCCATGGTTATAACAGGAATAACGAACTTGCAAACATAAACATTGCTCATTTTAAATTAGAGCAACAGCTGTTTCAGTATGCAGCGTTGCCACTTCTGTCTTGCCGCGGCCTTGTATTAGAGAAGGCTATGATATGATTCAATAATTTTCAAATTCAATCATTTGTTAATCAATAGCCTACTCTTCAAAGCAACTCGATTTTGGCCACCGTAGGTTTATATTTTTCACCCAACTATAAGTAGGCCTAAACAAGTCTAGACCCCTGGTTTGCATTAGCAAATAAGTAAAACAATCTCTAATGTTTTTAACAACTTAATTTAGTAAATGTATGCATCTAGAAATCAAATCAACCTAATGGCCAGAATACATTTTGAAAATAAGCCGAATGAGTACAAAGGAGTATCGGAAGTTTTTGCTCTCATTTACTAAGGACCCAACTGTATTCAACACCTGCCATTCTACATGTGTGTACCATCTCAAATTACTCACCAAACTGATATTAGATTCTAGACTTTTCTGTATATATTTCCAGTCAAACTCAGCCCCTCGAGCTCCGAACCACAGTAGCAGACAACGAGACAGCACCAACTCAGCTCCTGCCCAGCCTACCCCAGCTGTCAACACTTTGGCATGGCCCTTGCCAGGAATACCTGCGTAATACAGCACTTTATTAGCAATTGCGTAGTACAAAAAACTAGTATTCATTAAAGCTATTCCTTTATCTTACAAGATGTTAAATACTTGGATGCCAATGCAATCTTTGGTCGTTTTTGTGGCAAAGAGTTTCAAGTTTCAACACTTAGGGGTAGTTAAATAAAAGTTGAATGGATTTACAACTGATGTAGTATAGCAGATATTTTGTTTTTTAAGCTTTACAATCAAATTTCACTACCTAATGTGATTTTACAGGTTCAAAACAATAAAATTACCTGCTAAAACAAGGTAGAGGCCGCCCAAATCAGCAAGATCCACTGTGGCTTTCAGGAATTCCTAGAAAATAGTAAAATATTATTTGAACACGCTATCTAAATGTAAGTGTAGATTTGTTTTACCTAATAATAAAGAATTATTAATGTTGAATAATTTTCACATTTGGTATATAGCCTACAGAGTAGACCAACTCGTTGCCGCTATAAACTGTTGTCCGCCGGTCGGTGTTGCGGCGTTCAGTTATCGTTGCCGGTTGATCAGTTCAGTTTTCAGTTGTAGTCGGGAGTCGGGTGTTGCCGGGTTGTCCAGACAGGATGCGTTATTTTAACCCTAGCAGTGGCCAACCGTCGCCTGGTGACGGTATGACGTTGATGCTTAGAATGGCCAATGTCGTCTGGTGACGGTATGGGCCGAAATTTTTTTAACGGTAAAAAAAACACTTACAATCAACTCAGATGAGAATAATATATATACCATTCGAAAGATCACATTCTGAACTTTCATTTGATTACATAAACAAACCCTGTAGCAGGTATATAACAATGTCACGACGATTAGAAATCAAATGAAATTTTGGCGCGGTACGACTTTTGCAGCCGACACTTGGGAACTGGCAAAACACGTCTTGTTTGGCATTACCCTGCTCGGGTAATTTTCGTCTTGGGATATTGCGGGTGGTACCACTGGATAGCCATTGATTTTATCTTCATTGTGGTAGTGATATTTATAACTAAATATTGATTGCACAATCGGTACGATTTTATGAAAACAGCTGTTTTCGAAATTTCTAACAAATGGCCAACAGTCGTCTGGTGACAGTATGGAAAATACGAATTATATACAGTGAAAGTTATTATTACTAGTCATATAGTATATCATTTTGAAGAGGAAGAAATTTAGATTCAGAGAGTGGCAGCCCTGCACTCAGGGTTATTTCTGTATGCTCGCATGTAGACGACAAGTGAGTCATTACTGCTACAGTCTGTCAGCTGTCTTGTATTGCCATTGTTTGTTTGTGTTGTTGCCGTAATAGTTTTATCCGCGATTTATTACTAAATATGTTATTAGTTTCGCAGTGTTAGTGTTAGTGAAGTGTTGTGTGTGTGTATAACAGTAATCTTCATGCATAAATATTACTGAATTGTGTGAAATAGTGTTCATAAAAGGTTGTATTTTGTTAGCATCATGTCCTAAAATGACGATTCTGACATTCAGAGATTGTTGTACCTATATAATGATATACCCAAGGTGTTATACATTTTTATAAAGGTAAATGAATACACTACAACATGTTTATAATTGTTTGGGGGTAAAAAATTTTGTAAAAAAGTTATAGCCTATACTAAATAGGCCTACTACTGTATTTTGTTAGCATCATGTTCAAAAATGACGATTCTGACATTCAGAGGTGCTATATATGCTATATAATGATTTACCCAAGGTGTTATACATTTTTATAAAGGTAAATGAATACACTACAACATGTTTATATTGGTTTGGGTGTAAAAAATTTGGTAAAAAAATTATATAGGCTACTAAATACTGTACACTCCATTTTCTGGAAATGCGCAAAAAATTCAAAACGTTCTCAAATTGATACATAATCATAGGTGAAAATAACTTTTTACCATCATACTTATGACTTTTTTGGATTCCTTACTTCATTAGCTTTACAAATATGTAGGCTACATATCATCAGCCTACATAATGTTTCACAACACAAGCAAACACTGTAGGCTATAGTTTACACTTATTTGCGGTTTTGCGGTTATTGTATTATTATGTCCCTATTACGTACCTACAAAAAAAAAAATATTTCTAACATGTTATACATTTTTATGTAGGTAATTGAATACACTACAAGATTATTATGTTGGTTTGAAGTAAACAAATTTGGTACAAAAGTTGTATACTAAGTACTGTGATTTTTTTTCTCGAGAAATCGCTAAAATATAAAAACATTATTTTATATACGTATGTTTATAGGTAAAAAATTATTTTTACCATAAACTTTATGACTTTTTTTGATTCCTTACTTCATTAGCTTTACAAACATGTATATATCATTATTAGTATACACATATATTATAGAACTTTTTACAACATAAACTAACACTGTACGGTTTTCAATTTTTTCGGTTCTCCGTTTGTCATTATATTTCGCCCCAAAAACTTAAAAAAAAAATATTTTCCTAACATGTTATATATTTCTATGTAGGGAATTAGATTGTCTACAAAATGTATATAATGAATTTCCCATAAAAAAATCCGTAGAAAAAAAATGCAGAGGCCGCTTTTGAAATTTCAAAACAAAAAATTCAATTTTTTTTATTTTTTTCACTTTACCGATAAAATACACTGTCTAAATCATTATGATATTACTATTTCTAGATTCTCCTGTTCTTTCCGAACAAAATGAATATGAGGTTGGCTAGGTTTACTTGTACGGTTGAATTTTTACGAATTTTCAAAAAATGGTCTGCAAAATCGCCAAAATGGGTTGGCCATTCCCCACTTCTAACATTGGCCACTGCTAGGGTTAATTCTAGTTCGTTTAAGAAGTTATCGTTGCTCTGGTAGCGTTGCGGCAACGGCACTAATGGCAATGCATGTTTTCGTTTTCGTTGTCCGCGCGGCTTTCCTGCAACATTGTGTAGATAGATATATTATAATAACAGGGAGTTCTCCGCAACATGTTGCCGCGATAACGATGCCGTGGCCGCAACACTGTTATTCATCCTGTTATGTTAAATAACGCCCATCTCTACTACAGAGGAACCTCAATAATAAGACCCTTGATGATAACAAATGGTCCTTGATTATAACAAGATTTTTTTTCAAATGATCTTGATTTCATATGACCCTTAATTACATTATTGAAAATCCCGAAAAGAAATCAAACTTGATAACAAGTCTAATTTGATCATCCTGATGAGAGGTTTGTTATCGAGATTCTAAACCTACTAAAAATCAGTTTAGTTAATCACTCTTTACAGTATTATAACTATCATTAGATTAATTATAAAGTTAATTCAACAAAGTCAATAAATAATTAAAATTATTTTTTTTTTACTTACTTAGCATAAATCATTATCTTCTAGAACAGATTATAATATTTTAGCCTGCCCATTTTTTACTGTATATGATGAGAATGGGATAGAATAAAAGTTTAACTTTTTGCTACAAAATAAAATAAGTTAGTTAGAATAACAAATTTGATTTCACGAAATGTATTTTTTTACTAACTTAATAAACTTAACATTTTGTTTTTGGACATCCTTAATGGTCCAAATTACGCATAAAAAAATGTGGTTTTCTTATCAAAGCAATTTGTCACGTTTTACTACCCAACAAGTTTTACTTGCGCCAGTTGCACAACTATCCTAAAGACTTTCCCTGTTATTTTCCAGAGAATAAACTAAATATTTACCCCGAAGAGATCAACACTGTCATGTGGGCCAGAATCACCCGCAGGGAAAAATGTGGCTAAGATCATCATCTTGCACAACTGTGTGAATATGTAGATACCTCCTGCTTGAACACACTTCCAGAAAGCTCCATACTCAGATCTGCGGAACAAATAAGAATTGTAAAACTGTAGCCTATTTATAGTGTCCAGAAAAAAAAATTTCTTTAGGAATGTTTAGTTAGTCCTAAATTTAAAACAATATTAGGTTTTACAAAGGAAAAAACATTCTTAATCTTGATACTTAAGGTCTTTTAAACGTACATCAAGGTTACTTTGCTTGTTACATAGCTTAAAAGATCAGAATAACTTGAATAACAATAGCTCATTATAACGTCTCTTTCTCTTGATCAGTAAATTTATAGCTGAGTAAAACTAAAACTTATCTTAACCTAGAAAATCAACACTTTTGGTCAGACTCGAACCGACAACGCAGCAAAATAGTTTTTTACAGAAGATATGTGGACGACACGCTTGTATTGTTCAACGGTAACAATAGACAAATCAACATATTCAAAACATACCTCAACAATGTACACAAAAATATGAAATTCACTCTGGAAACTGAAATATCTAAATCTATTAATTTCCTGGATCTCACTATAACAAGAAAAGACAGTAACTTAGTATTCAATATCTACAGGAAGCCGACTACAACTGACCAAACTATCCATTCATCATCACACCACCCCTATAGCCACAAATTATCCGCCTACAATAGTTTCGTCCATCGTCTACTCACCGTACCACTCAACCCAACCAACTACATTAACGAAGTTAGAATACTAAAACATATTGCAGTGTCAAATGGATACAGTAGCAACCTCATAGACAAATTGATCTCAAAACACCGTAGCCGAACCGAAATAACCTCCAGAGAAAATAATAAAAAATACGTTAACGCTGAATTCGGTGTGGTTTTAAATGATACTCTGCGAAAAGAACTGGCAAAAAATGACGTAACAGCGTCATTTAAGACTACAAACAAGCTGTCGTCATTGATCAGAGTCAAGAACAAGTGCCACACTGATAACAACAACAAAACCGGAATCTATAGATTAAAATGTGACAATTGTCCCAGCTTTTACATAGGACAAACTGCCAGATCTTTCACAACCCGATTTAAAGAGCACCTACCAAAAAAGAATTCTAAATCAGCTTTTTCCAACCACCTAACAACCACAAACCATAACTATACAGACATTCACAATAACCTAGATATATTACACTTTTGCAATAAAGGACACCATATGGACACAATAGAAGAATACGAAATATATAAGGCATCAAAAGAACAACCACATCATATTTTGAACGAAAAACAGTCCTTCGAGTCTAATATAATTTACAACACAGCCATTCTGATATCTGATTACCAAACCAAGGAAAGAAAAGATAAGGATAGAACAGGGGTAGGGGTCAAAGCTGCCGACACGTGACAGTCGCGACTTATCCATCACCGGCGCCGCATCACGTTTCGCAGTCGTTCTTTAATTAATGTTTAAATGTTTCGTGCGTGTTTTCGTGTGTGTAAATGTCTACATGTTTTTTGTGTAACCATGACGAACTCAACACCGAGGGATGTTTTATAAAGAAGCTGGCGTTCAACAAACCTGAAGATGTGCCAGTGATAGGCATGAAACAGCTGTAGTTTCATAAAACTACCGAGGATCGATGACAGAAGCCAGGTAATTTAAACCTTATTAGTGCTATCTTAAGGGTCAGAAAACTGAACTCTCTTACGGGCACAAAAATCCAAATTCTTTCAGAACAAGTATTTGGTAGCAAGTTAACTTATAAGGATTAAAGTAAAAAGTAGCAAAATGCCAGATTTAAGGAGCAATTCAAAAGTTCACTGATTCCTATAACTTCCACCCAAGCCGCCCACTGTTTATTATAAGTTAGGTGGACCTTTTCCACAAAAAGAAAGATGAACTCCCCATGAGTTTGGGATTGTCCTGGTTTTTTGTCATAAGTCAGGTTAACACCCAGTCTCTCAATAAATTGTCTTGGGTCGCTGAAAAATCCCTGAAGTAGGCTTAAGTTAAGTTATAAAAACAATTTATGCTTAAAAGTGCTATAGAAGTAGGCCTATAAACAATCTATTTACTAGCCTACCAGGGAACATTTATGGGGTACACTTCCATATCTGTTGACATAAACAACCGAACGATTAATATCGATCGATATATTGATATATCATTTGGTTAGTTAGGTAAGGTTAACCTAACTTAACCAACCAAACGATGTATCGAATTAAACAATCAAATAATCAATAGGCTATTACTCATTCGGTTGTTTGTGCCAACAGATATAGAAGTGTACCCACTTTAAGTTAGGCTGGGGGGCATGGACCTAGACAGGGAACAAAATAATCTAGGTGTTCCAGTTTTTACCAGAAATGATTTGGCCACCCTAAACGAGTTGTATATAAGTTACCAGATCTCGCTGAAATGGAGTTTGATCTAGGCCTATGGTGTGAACTACCAGACGTGGAGACGCTTTTAGACTGTTCTCATCAGTTATCGATAAGATGCATTTTGAATATTTAGTTGTAAGGGGGAATTTGCTTATGTTACACTTGAGAGCCAATAAGTTATATTGGCTTTTGGGGCTTAAAGAGATAAGATGGGGGGGCTAAATAATAATAGGCATAGGCCTAGGCATAATAATAACATCACTGAAAATGTTAAGTAACTCAAAGGGAACAAGAATAAAAATAATAGAGTAATCTAACTTATAACATTTACATAAATAGTATGATAATAATTTCAAACAGAGAGATGAATGCTAATCATAGTGTTACAATTACAAAATTAAGGTTAGTTGAGACATTTACTTACAGTCCAGAATGTTTGTAGGTTAAATAATAAGGGACATAAACTAGGGCTAAGCAATTCCCAAAGTGATATAAGGTCATGTTTAGTTATATGTCCGTCCTTAGGTGCAATTCTCTAGCACAACATAAAAATCTCTTGGCCAAATTAAATTATATTGACTAGGTTATTTATATTTGTTGGGTTTTTTAAGTTGCTTTATTTTTTTAGAAAGATGGTATTTTAGCAGAATCAGTGTTGCCAGATTGGCCGGCGTAAATTATCGTACAAGCAATCCAAAATTATCGTATTTTGGGCAAAATTATCGTACACACGATTTTCTTTTATATTATAATGTAAAACAAGCAAGTCGATGATGGAATGACCGAAATTTTACTCTATTTGTCTCTGACGCCCACCGTTTTTGCTCTACCAGCCTACCACTGAGCTAGAAAAATATAAATTCTACCTGAGGCAGCACACTATCACAGAGTTAAAGGCGACCGTGATCACACACACACGGAATCTGCACCTCTGCTAGTAAAAAATTGGAATGCTATAAAATTATGGAATTTCGGTTCTCAACTTGAAAAATCAACCAGCCCATTGCTTTATTTCATTCCCCTACTACCAATGTACTGAGTAAAATAATTAATTGAAGGTACAACATGGTACAACGTAATCTACCCCTGGTAGCCAACTTCTCTAAAAATGTCAAAATTCTCCTATAAACACTTAAGTTGGTAGCCATTGGGCCCTCTCTAACACAGCTGATGCCTTTGCAAGGTTGCCTGATCGAAGAACAACGAAGTGATGTTACCATTTTTCCATATATTAAAAGTGGGAAACTTGTTTAAATGTATAATAATCAATATGAAATAGTTTATTTTCTAGCCCCCAAAAAATAATCGTACATTATGACAAAAAATCGTACACAACGTCAAAATTATCGTACAATTTTTCAAAATTATTTTTTATGGGGAAGGAGCAAAAAAATCGTACAAATACGATAATTATCGTACACCTGGCAACACTGACAGAATGATAATGCACGCACCCACGGAAGGACGGACGATGCTAGAGCTAGAGTAGCTGGTTTACAGAATGGAAGGAATAAGAAAATATTATAACTTTGCTGGCATTGATTATACAGGACATGGTTGAAAACTGTATAATAGAGGCTATCATACTCATTGGTAGTGCCAGTAATAAAGGGATATTTATTAATGACTCAAGCAATCGCAATATAAATATTAAACTTTAGTTGACATGTATAAAATACCCCTGCCACAGCAAATCTGCCGACTAAGCGAATTTCCACTTGTCTGAATTGATTTTCAATTAAATCTATATAAATAACATTAGGTGTAATGAGTACCTAGGTTTGCTGTTACAAAGAAAACAAAAAAGTGTATTTTTAGTAAAATATTAATAGCTTAGTTTAGAATAAATAAATTTGCCAAGTTTGATCAAAATATATCCATAAACAAGCAAACTACATTATTTTACAATATTCTCCATTAAAATAACATGCGAATTTTTCATTTAAAATTTTTTGAATTTTCTCCGTTACCAATAACCGTACAAAAACACTTTGATATACAAAATTATTTTTTTAAGCTCTTTAAAAAGGTCTAGAGAGAAATTGGGAAATTTTGTGTTTTGAGGGTCAAAAATGAGAAAAGCTATTTTTTACCCCATAAAACCCCCCGTAAAACCCCGTTCCAATGGTCCGATCATACTGGTTCGCGAACTCATTCAAGTTTATCCCGCCTTAAACATTTGAACCAAATTTCATCAAAATCGGACAAAAATTACTCAAGTTATCACGTTCACGGACGTATATATATATATATATAAATTTGAACTAATTGTGTTTTTGGACTCTGGGGACATCAAAATGAAAAAGTATATCGGTCCCGGTCCTAGGTCCTACCATGCCACCTACGGTAATAGCTACTTCCCTAGGGAAATTCGCTAAAAATAAGTAAAACTGACTGTCAAGTTATTGGTTTGGGGGTCGTAATGGTAAATTAAGAAAAATATCAACAAATTGATTTAATACATTGACAACGCCATATATAAAACATACTCCTTGAGGAGTATGTTTTATCTATGGCAATACCCTCCAACATTTGTCTAGTCCCTCAAATAAATAGCGTTACTATTACCAAAACTCTCATTAGCCTCTTTAACGCTATGCTGGGCATTGTATCTTGAAATGGATGCATGTTAATGAATTATACGCTAGATTTAAGCCACGATTAATTCTTCATTCTATAATAAGTCTGACATAAAATCATTTATTAGCAAGGACACATTTATAAAATAAAAATTGGGGTTTTTATTGCGAGCTCTCATTGGAATAAATGTGCAAGCTTTCCTGGATATATAAGCGTTAACTTGACAGCCTCCTTTTGAAGTGCAAAGATGTGCTTTGTTGTAGATGTCTCAGATCCCCAGATAGTGACGGCGTATGACAAATAGGGGAAAACCACCGCATAGTAGGCAGATAGAAGAACTGTTTTATCTGTGAAAGGAGCAAGGCGACGTAACACAAAGATTCCAGAATTAACCTTTCGGTCAACGTTGTCAGTTTGACATGAGAACTTTAGGTTTTCGTCAATGTGAAGCCCTAAAAATTTCAAATTGGTCTTCGAAGATACTACAGTGTCGTCAATCCAAACACTGAGATCAGTCAGTTCGATGTCTTGACGATATGCTGAAGTCCACCAAAGTGGTCTTGCCATTATTTATGACAAGACCATTGTCAAGAAACCATTGGACAACGTTGTTAGACTCAAGAAAAGTAGATACTTCCATGGAACCGTGGGTGGTTTTGTCAACAACAATTGACGTGTCATCGGCAAACAAACACAAATGGGCATCTGATACACTATTTCTGATGTCATTTATGTATAAGATGAATAAAACAGGCCCCAATATTGAACCCTGAGGCACCCCAGCTTTGACCAGCAAAACGTCTGAATAACACTTTTTTTTAATGTTTTTGTCAACAAATGGCAATTGGACTTCTTGTGTCCGTCCCCTAAGATAAGAAGACAGCCACTGATTAGCCACACCTCGTATTCCAATGATGTCAAGTTTTTCAAGCAAAAGATCGTGCGAAACCATGTCAAAGGCCTTTCGCAAATCGAAGAAGACTCCAGAGGCAGCTTCACCCCTGTCCAATGCATTTACAACCCTGTCGATGATCGAAAACATAGCATTGACAGTAGAACCACCCTTGACGAATCCAAACTGATTAGGACACAAGACTTTGTTATGATTTAAGAAATTCAACAACCTGCACAAAAAGGCCTTCTCAAAAACTTTAGAAAATGTCGATGTTATAGAAATGGGTCTGTAATTGTCAAGATCTTGCACATCGCCTTTTTTGTGAACTGGCTTCACTATAGATAGTTTTATAGCGTCTGGGAAGGTTCCAGTTTGAAATGAATGGTTGATGATATTAACCAAAGGATTCCCCAAAAATTCACATCATGACTTGAGGAGCTTTGAAGATACTTTGTCATGGCCTGACGATGACCTAGTTTTCAATGACTTGATAATTTCAACCAACTCTTTCTTGGTTACTGGTGTCAAGAAGAATGACGACTTATCAGAAACTGGTTGTAAATGAGAGATAGCATTCTTGCGGTTGTGTGCATTGCCAATACCTACATCAACAAAAAAACCATTGAACATATTGGAGACCAGTGCTGGATCACTTATCCTTGAACCTCTCCCATCCTTGATGTTGTTGAAGGAATTCAAAGAAGGTTTTCTCATACCTCTATTTTCATTTACGATCTCCCAAACGGTCTTTGTTTTATTAGAAGAATTTTCTATAATGTCCAACACCTTATAGGACTTGGTAGCCCAAATACAATACATATTGTATTTTATGATGTAAATTGCAATTTACTATAAATAAATATGTATTACTACAGTAGTCAAATTTATTACGTATATTATGGGAATACCGAATGCATAGTTTTAAAGGTTGTGTGGGTGGCAAGACTTATCTGTGGCCTTTAGCGTTGTAGTGGCAGCACTGCAGTCTACACCACCGGGACCGGAACCGGCGGAATTGGAATTTCCATGGACTTCTACTTCTAATACTTCTGAGCACTGCCACTATGAAGCCTGGCTATGGGTTCTGAGAAACTAAAGTTAGCGATTTACACACACAACAACTCCAAGAACGATTTAAATTGCTCAATGGCCAATAGCTACGTTAAATCTAACTTTCACTGAATCACTTGCCATTGCCAATGAAGTCCAAAATTAAATTTCGTGCAATACCATACTTGTTGTTTAAATATTTCATAATCATTACCATACCCTTTGATATCTCCTAGTTGATAAGGCCACGCCCTTGTATAACTGATACAGTCCCACGTTGTTACACCACAAAAAAGGATAAAAGGTTTATCTGGAAGCAAATTTTAACATTAAATGGAGACCTATGCACAACACCCATTGATGTTTTAGAGCTTGTTTTATTTTAGGAAGAAATGCTGCTAATCATATCAGCGCATCCAATAAGTTCACTGACTGTATAAAACACTCATCGGTAAAATTATTTGCAAAAAATGTAATTTACTAATGGATAACATTTTTGGAATCGTAGGCAATATTATGCCATAATTTGTTGTTCAATTGTAAGAAGCGTCGGTTCTGTTACCTACCAATTTCAATTTGTCATTGAACCATTTAGCTGTTCTAGTAACAGATCGTTACGTGCATAAGTGGCAGCTCAATAGCGTATATCGAACCAAAAAGGTGTCTTGCACAAACAATATTAGGATTATCACTTCACGTTTGCCCGGGTCAGTGTTTTCAGACCGGGTAGTAGTTATTCTCTAGTTTCTCCTCCCCTCCCCCTCACAATCCCTCACTGTTTCTCCCTATCGTTCTTCTATCTTTGTCCCGGCTCTATCCATTCTCCCGCGCTTCTCTATCATTCTCTCTCTCTCTCTCTCTCTCTCTCTCTCTGTTTCTCACTCCAGCCTACCAGGTTACAGCCATAAACGTAGCCAACTTGCTTTGTATATTGAGCTTTAAATCACTCCATACTTACTTGCACTATTCTCTTTGCTGTCTAAACTCTATAGCAATTGAAATTTCCATGGACTATACGGGGTAGAGATTATGTAACGATTTTGTTAATTTATTGATAGCAAGTTGTTAAGATAATCCCAATTAATTTTGATCTGTTAGGTAAGATGGAGATTAGCCCGT